TCAGGAGAGGGAGGAGCTAGATAGATAGATGGTGGGCAGGTAGAGACAATTCGGGCCCACCACAGGCCACCTCCACGAAGAGGGATTTGGGGGTGGGGCCTCTAGACGCCACTGGGCCCTGTGACTGATCTGGGGGTACCAACCGTGTGCCCTTCTCAGGTGCAGCACGTGCTCAGGGAGGGGGAGCAAGACCTGCGCCACCTGCAAGGGGGAGAAGAAACTGCTGCACTTCATCCAGCTCGTCATCATGTGGTACGTGGCCTGGACTGGTTTCTGCAGAGAAAGGGCATGGTCGGGGCTTTCGCAGTGCAGGGACCCGTCAGCACTTGGAAGGGGGAGCCTGCTCTGGGAAGAGGCAGTGAGGGGCGGTGGGACACTGACAGGCTGTAGAACAGACGGAGCTGAGTTCAAAGTCCGACGTCACCACTTCCTAGTGCAGCAGCCGGGACCCAGCTGAGCAGTCCCGTGCAGGAACAGAGCAGGCGTCCTGCCGCACCCCCGCGTCAGTGGGGCTCCCACGCAGTGCGGGTTTCTCCTGCGAAGCGAGGCGCTGCACAGGCAGGGATGAGATCACAGAACCGAACCGTCAGGGTCCTTCCTAGCGTCCTGTCACTGACGAGGAGGCTGAGGCTCAGAGAAGGTCTTACAGCAATTCAAGCCCCAAGCCTGGGTGTGTCTGGTTCCAAGGCCTTGTTCTTCACCCGCGCTGCTGCGTGCTTTCTCCTCACCCTGTTCGCTTGCAGGAAGAACAGCCTGTTCGAGTTTGTGTCTGAGCACCAGCTCGGCTGCCCTGGGGAGCTCCTCGCCAGAGCCAGAGGGGAAAACCTCTTTAAGGATGAAAACTCCACGGTAAGGAGGGCTTCATGGCTGGGGGCGAAGGAAGCTGTGTTTCTCCTCCCCTCCTGTGGGGCCGGGCCTCGGGACATGTGTGGGGCCCGTGTGCTTTGCAAGGGCGGGCTGGGTAGCAGCAGAGCTGCCCGGGCAGGGGAGAGGCTGCGAGGACCCCTCCTGAATTGTGCATACTGAGCGCTCCATCCCTCCCGTCTGCCATTCTTCCCTCCTCCCTCCTGCTCTCCGTTCTTCCTCCTTTCCCTCTCTTCCCTCACTCCCCCTCCCTTCTACAAACCTGAGCCCCCCCTCCTACAGCAGGCTCTACCCCAGGCCCTGGGGACACTCTGGCAAATAAGAAATAACCCTGCCCTTGCAGGTCTTACAGTCTTACAGCGGAGGGGGCTGAGAGTGGGCATTTGTACCACCGTGTCGGAAGGCGATTAGGGTCGTTGAAAACACTCAGCCGGGGTGGAGGTGTCATTCCAGCAGGCGGCAGGGAAGGCCTCTCTGTGGAAGTGATGTCGGGCAGAAACCTGAATGCAGGGCAGTGGGGGAGTGGACCCCAGGGGACAGCTGGGCAGAGCCTTGAGGACCCGTGGAGGGCAGTGAGTGGAGGGGAGCTCAGACACGAGAGGTGCCGGCAGCCAGACAAGACAGTCCTGTGGGCCAGGTGTCGGCACAGCCCACCACCTGCTCTTATAAATAAAGCTTTATCGGCACACTGCCCTGCACACGCATTTGCACTTTGTGGCCACTTTCCTGCTGCTGGGCCAGAGCTGAGGAAAGACCGACTCCATGGCCACAAAGGCTGAAATATTGACTATTAATCTCTGGCCCTGTGCAGAAAAGGGCCTCAGATTGTGGGGAGAGGTGCTCAGCCTCGTTCCTTGCCCCATAAACCAGCTTCCTAGAGGCGCCCTCAGGCCTCCTGCTCTAGGAAGCCCCGTGCCCACCCCCTGTCCCCTGTGCTCAGCCCTGACCAGGGCCCATCCTCAGGCTGTTGCTGGTGGCTGGTGGCTTTGTGAGCTGGTCCTGCCTGGGTGCGAGCTCTGACAGGGCAGGGTGGGGCGGCGGTCACCTCCCCACCTGCGGCATCCACAGCAGCTCCTGGCCCAGGTGGACGCTCAGCAAATGTTAGAGGGGCAGGGGAGAGGTCTCAGTTCCACAATCAGGGGAAATGCTTGGCTCTAATGTGTGGAAGGGTTTCACACGTGGCAGAAAGGGATTTGGGGGTGTGGGGGACTGATCACACGCCCTCGTGCTTGGACTTTATTTTAGGCTGACTGTGTGCATTTGGATGTATTTGTGGTTCATATTGTGTCTGCAGCTCACAGACAGGGCCTGGCACGTAGTGGGCAGTTTGAATGTTTGGATGAGAAATGACTCTGGGTTCCTGTCCAGCCGCACAGGTACAGACCTCATGAGTCCACGCTGACTGCGTGGGCCCACACTCAGCACAAGGCCCGGCACATAGTAGGCTTGCAGCCAGGGCTTGCTGGGGGGAGAGTGGGCTGCAGGGGAGCCCACTCCCTAACCCTAACCCTAACCCTAACCCTAACCCTAACCCTAAGCCTCCTCTTTGTGTTGATTCTGGAGGACTGTGACCTGGGTCTGCAGAGGTCGAATGAGTCCCACCAGCTCGCGGTGTGGCTTGGGGGCCCTTCCCTCTCAGGGGCCCCTTCTCTGTCTGGCTGGCTCTGGCTCAGCGACTGCCACAGCTCCAGGAGTGGCAGCCAGGTTGCCTGCGTCTCTCCCCGCAGGTGTACCCCATCGTGGACTTCCCCCTGAGGGACATCTCTCTGGCCTCCCAGAGGGGCATCGCGGAGCACAGCGCCGCCCTGGCCTCCCGCGCCCGCATCCTGCAGCAGGTGAGCCGGGGCGGGGCTGGGCGGAGGGGCTGCCCACCCTTCGGGCCAGGCTGGTGGGAGGTGAGGCTGCGGGGCCAGGCTGGTGGCGCCGACCTCGGTCACCTAGAGAAACTGAGCCCTTCTCTCTGCCTGGGGGGCTGTTCCTGAGAATGCCAGGGGAAGGAGGAGGAAGAGTCAGCTGTCAAGAGGGGGAGGAAGAGGAGGAAGCGGGAAAAGCTGGGGCCGACTGGAGGCCAGCGTGGCCAGAGGGCAGAGGGCGGAGCAGTGCGGGCAGCGAGCGGACACAGGCCACCGCGGGAAGAGGTCTGGATTGTATTCTGAGAGAGACAAAAAGCTGCTGCAGGGTGTGAAGCACGCACGTGGCATAGGGTAATCTTGACTCTAACTCCCTGGTATTCAGGTAGGGAACGATCGAGAGTCGGGGTCACAAGCCTGGCTGGACCCAGCGTCCTGCCGCTCAGGCGGGGCACCCCCGCCCAGACCCTACCCGACCTCTCCTCCGGGCTCCAGTGTTTCGGCCGCTGCCTTCCGACGGCCACTAGGTGGCGCTGGTGCCCGCCGCTTCCCGAGCCAGCCCTGCCCGCCCTCCCGCGGCGGGGACCTGCCTGGGAACGCCCGGCGGGCGCCGCAGTTCCGGGCCAGGGACGCCCGTCCCTGGCCATTCTCGCAGCTGAGCCTTGCAGCCCGGGCTCAGATCCCGGGCCAGCTCCTCACCTGTGAAAAGGAGACACTAAAGCACCGCAGAGCGTTTTGCAAGGAGCGGGTAGTTTGCTTGAAGCGCTTGGCCCCTGGAGCACAAAATGCCCCTCTCCTTCCGTGCTTCCCAGCGAGCGTTTCCCTTTCTCTCTGCACATCTTCCCTATCGGCTGGGAAGGGAAGGATACATTTTACCGAAATTAACACGGACCATCTTGGAGCTGGACGGCGGCTTATTCACAGAAGTCAGCAGCTCAGACACTGCAAACTTAAGTGCCTGCCAGGCCCAGGTGGCAACGTGGGTGGGAGAGCCCCTCATCCGAAGGGGCCGCTCACCACTCGGCTTGGTGCAGGCACAGGGCCCAGAGTTTCCAGACCTTCCGAAGTCCAGATTTTTGTATGAAACCTTCCACTTTTTCAATATTGTTACCACAGTGTTTTAAAAGCTAAGAATGGCATGTGGGCTAACGAGCCTGCTTTGGCCGGAGGGCCACCGTTGGCCTTCCCTGGTCTAATCCAAACTCACGTGACTTTTCCCCAAAATCCGAGGAAGCCCAGAGAGTGGATGTAATTTGCCCATGGTCGCACAGTCTGTAAGTGGAAGAGCCCAGGAATAGGAACGTTTCTTGACTCCAACTCCAATGTTATTCATTGCATTTCAAGACATATGTGCGTGTGCCTCTGAAAACTAGGCTAGGCTTGCAGGGTATCACCGGCAGCAGGATTTAGGGCCCTTTTCACTGGGCCAGACACCACGGGTGCACTTCACGCACCAGGGTAGCGCCTGCCGCCCAGCTCTGGCACTCACTCGTGGCTTCGGGCCCTCTCTTCCTCTCCATGGACCTCAAGGCCTCGCCTGTAAAACGAGGGGAGCTGGGCCTTGTCTTAGGTTGGATTCTGCGGAAGCAGACCCCAAGACAAGGACTCGAGTGCACCAACAGCAGGGAAGGGATCCCAGGAGAAACCAGTAAGGATTGGGGGGCGAGGAAGAAGCCAAGCAAGGGTCCGAGTGCAGGTACCGTCCCAGCGTCTGTCTGGTCCCAGGGAGGTTCTGAGCTTAAACCTAAACCGCACCTCAGCGGTTGTCTGCCTGGGGGCAGGGGTGCTGGGCTTTCGTTATCCCGCACCGTGCGATCACTGGGTGCTGCCTCCCGGGCCCTACGGCTCTCTCTGTGCAGGGTGAGTTCCCCGTCTCCGGGACAGGACTCTGAAGGAAGCTGCGCTGTGAGCAGCAGAGCACACAGAAGCCGGGGGTGGGTGTGCAGATGCAGTCTGGAGGGAGAGCCATCCACTGGAGACCCCAGAATGTTCCCTGAGGGAGCTGATGTGCTATGGTTTGAGTTATACTTCAGGGGGCCAAATATGAAGGCATCTTCTTTGGGGATGGGAAGAGGGTAGAGAAACATTGAGTGAGGCAAGGAAATTATTTTAGCAGCTTGTGGACACTATAGGTTATCCGGGGACATGTTTTTACTTTTGAGGCTGACAATTTGAATCCTTTTTGGACCCTTCATTTGGCAGCTGGGGAAACTGAGGCCCAAGGAGGGGAAGTGACCTGCCTAAAATCACACAGCATGCTGGTGGAGGTCCAGGACTAGAACTCAGGTCTCTTGAGGCTTTCCCCGTGACCTAGCCCCGTCTCTGGCAATATAAGCCATTTGCAAACAAATCCCGGAGCCGGGGAGGGTAAGCCAGGGGACAAATACACGTTTTTCTTTGAAGAGGAACATAATGGGAGAGGAGGTCACGTCTGTGAATCTTTTTTCGAAATTTGCCCTTAGTTCTGGAGCTGTAGACAAAGATTCATGCTGACATCTCGCTCAGGACAGGGTGAGTGGAATCCCGTTATGAGGAGAGGCAACACGGCTGCCACTACAACGTGCCCCAGCCTCAGCCAGCCTGGACTCTGAGACCCGGAGTCTGCCCGCCGCAGGGCCATGCCAGTTACAACATAGCCACCGGATGTCTTGAGCCATTTGAACGGGCAGCGGATGGAGGCGGCGGGGGGTATCTGGATGCTCTCCATTGGATCTTAGCAGAAAAGTCCTGACCTCAGGTCCAGGCCTTCTGAGCAGTGACACTGACTGCCATCTCCTTGCGTCCCTTAGTTCCCATCTGGGGTCCTTTACACCGAAATTTCAAGAGGGGTCTGCTACCTTTTGTTTCCAAAATTATCATCCGGATACCAGTTTCTGGCATATGAAGAAAAGTCAGTCTCCGAGTCTCATTTGGTTGTCTCAACAACTCTGCGAAATGGCAGTTTTTATTCCCATTTCACAAATGAGGAAACTGAGGCCCAGGGAAACAGAGTGCATGATCACACTGAAAGCTTAGCAGAACTCTCATGCCCTCACTCGGATTCCCTGTCCCTTCTGCAATGGCATGCTGCCCGCTCTCCTCCGGACCCCTAGGAGCCTGCCTCCCACAGTCCCCTCCCTGCCGTGCTCTCCGGGGATTGTAGAGCAGTTTTTTTCTGGAATGGAGAGAGAAGTCGAAGCAGCCAGATGGCTTCAGCTAAGCTCCTGGCCCGTTTTCCCTTTTCCCCTGGGGCCTTTGAGCCACCAGCTAGAGCAAGAGGACTTGGGGCTCTTTTCTCAACAAGGAGAACTTCCTGCAAGTAAAGAGGGGCTGACCCTGGGCCACTCATGCCACCTCTCTTTGGATTTGGGATCCCCAAATTGGAGTCTGGGACAGGGGAGCAGCTTCTGCAGAGAACTTAGGGGTTTGTCCCAGAGCCTGGTCCACAGTGAGTCCCCAAGAAAGCTTAGCTCGAATGATTAGGAGTAACATTCCTGTGTCAGCTATGTGTCGTAGTTGCCAACGACAAAAGAGCGCCCAAAGCTATGGAGATGGGCGCCTCCATGGAGCCTGGTGCTTGCTCCCAAGGCGGCTGCTCCGTTCTGCCCAGGGCCTCGCTATGAGAGTCTTGTAACTGCTCAGAGAAGGGGCCAGAGAAGAGGGACTTAGGACCACTCTGTGGGAGGAAGCGAGTTCCCCATCCCGTCTTGGGGAGCATTTAAAGAGAGGTAGATGCTGGGGAGGAGATCTGAGCATTCAGTGGGTTCAGCTGTGGCGAGGAGATGGGGCTTGAACTGGATGATCTTCCAAACCTGAAATTCTGTGAGCCCGCGGGACTGTTTTCCCACTTGTCAAAAGGAGGGAACCCCTGAGAAAGACTTTTCTCAAAGCCAAGTTGATACACAATAATGGTGGTCGTGGTGGTGGAGGGGCCTGAGAAAATAGCCCGACACAGCCCACCGAGCTTTGAAATTTCTTTAGGCTCAATGTTTTATTTTAAAAGTTTAATTTAAATTTCATAAACCACTCTCTCATATCTGCATGGTTGTTTTTACATAAAATATGTTAAACGACTTTATTCTCTACCTTCTATCATCATCCCGTCTAACAATTAATGCTACTAGATGTCACACTTGGCTTGTGGCTTCCCATATACCCTGGGACTCTGCTGGGAATGCCTATACCCACTGGTGAAAGCTAGAATCAGACCTTGGCTAAAGATGAGAAGTCACTTTTGGCCAGAGCATAGGGTATGTGAAGGAGCATAGCAGAAAATACATCTAGAAAGGCAGGAGCCAAATTGTGCAGGTCCTAGAACGCCAACTCCAGAGCATGAACTTAATACCGCAGGCAGTAGGGAGCTGCTGAATGTTCTTGAGCAGGCGAGTGACTTGAACGGAACATTGAGGTTTTACTTGGCTATTTGTTTCCTCAGCGCCAGACCATTGAGCTGATCCCCCTCACAGAAGTTCATTACTGGTACCAAGGAAAGACTTCTGTCTACTACATCTACGGCACCGACCACCAGGTGTATGTGGTCAACTACCCTGAGCGGTACTGCTGTGGCTGCACCATCGTCTGACACAGCACAGCTGTCCCCAGAGCCCGCCATTCACATTTGCCGAGGAGGACAACGGACGGTCTTGGAGTTCATAGTAGTTGGCTACACTGGACAAACCTGTGCAAACCCTGGCATGTCCTTCCAGAAAAATCAGCTATGGTCTGTCAAGCCACAACTCCTTGTGGAGCCCCTCTGGTGGAAACCGTCACTCGTATGTTTAACCTACAAGAATTCAACTACACACACGCCTTTAGGACGCACGAGAGAAATAAATAGTAAGGGCTTTGCCTGTGGCCTCCAAGCTAGCGCCGCGATGAAGCGTGTGATTGGATTTCGCTTTTCCCTCCGTCACTCCCGGTCCTGCTGTGCTGCTGCTGGTGTGAGCCTCTTGCCAAGCTGAGCATTCCCGACGGGTTTAAAGATGCAGGCAAATTGGCTGCCCCGCTGCACAACGGATAGTGCACTTGGGTACAAAGCACGAAATTTTACTGCCCGTTCTGTGGGTCAGGGATCCAGACACCGCTCTGGAAGATCTGAAGCCTGGGGTGCTCAGGGCGGGGTCTGAAATCCTCTGAAGGCTGGTTGGCGCACATGTCCGGCGGCCCATGGTGGCTGCTGGCTGGGCCCTGGCTGGGGTGTCTGCTGGAACGCAGCTATGTGGCCCCTCCATGGCGCTGGGGCTTCCTCGCAACACGGCGGCTCTGGGGGCGAACGGCCCTCACACACGCCCCGGCTGAGGACGTGGACATCTGTCCACAGCTGGAGAGCAAAGCAGCTGTGCTGGGTGCCCTGAGCATCTGTGTGCTGCCCTGTAACGCGGTGTCTGTGTGAGGACGACAGAGAGTGATGAGAATAGATGCAGATTTGTACACCACAGGCTGGCCGTAGGACTTGCCCACTGAGTAAGGTGTGAGCTTGATGTTCTGTGTCACTGAGCACGTGCAGGAGCCCCACCTGGTGGAGTGAGGCTGGGCGGAGGGGACACCTTGCGGACCTAGTGCTGAGTCAGCCCTGGAGAGGCGCTCTGGGCTGGGCGGGCCTCTGTGCACCCAGCTGTGCGTAACCAGAGGCCGCTGTCACCTTACAATGCCTGCAGCACACGCAGAAGGGGATTGCTGCAGCGGGCGTGACCTCAGGAAGCAGCCCCGAGAGGGCCACTGGGTGCACACTCTCGATCCAAACTCCCACACCAGGGTGTGGACGTTGGGGAGTCTGGGGAGGCCGAGGCCGACCCCCAGGGCGTCGCTGATAAATGATACACAGGGACACTCCCTCCCTCCCCTGCTACTACTCCACCCTGCGTTTCCCCGGACCGTGTTCAGGTGTTGCTGTTTCCCCAAGTCTGGCTGAACCACGCGCTGGCAGTCCTGACCCACAGCGCGGCCAATGGCCTTGCCGACAGGAGCAGCGGGGTTTGTGGGGGGAGGTGGTTCCGGCTCCCTCCTGGCTGCACAGAAGCCCAAGGGGACTTGACCAGGAAGCAAAAAGGGACACGAACCCAGAGGCTCAGATTTCGGCTCTTGCTCCGGCTGCCTTCAGCCGATTCCACAGGCTCAGCTTGTCAGGGGACCAAGGGCAGGACGAGGTGTTTCCTGGGGTCAGGGTGCACTGGGGCATGGGGGGCAGACGCTCCCGAGGACAGAACCTGGTGGTGACAGGGCAAAGAGGGAAGGTTCCCCAAGGAGGAGCTCACTTCCCCCTCCTCCCACAACTCCATGGGGCTCAAGTCTGGGAGGCCCTTGCTCTGGCTTAACAAGGGAGGCCGTCCCCTCCGCCCCAGTGTCCCCGTGGCCTGCCTCTGTGGTCCTCAAAGGGGACGCTTCTGCCTCTCGGGGGCATTGTACAAATGGAAGATGGTTTTTGGTTGTTGCAGTGATTGGAAGTGACACTACTGGCCTTAGGCGAATGGAGTGTATGAAATGCAGATGCCCAGCGATGCCTGGGAGTGTCTGCACCGTTCTGCGCCACACACGACTCGCCAATATCCCGCTGACATTCACGTAGGATGCTCCTTAGTTATACACAAAAGTCTCGTCAGTTAGTACTTTATGCAATGGCAATTTTTATTTAGCGCTCACCTCTGTTCTTGGGCTTTTCCATATGTCTTGTTTGAAATGACTTTGATCATCTTACTTTTCTTAAATCCAAATGGTTAAAGTGGGTGTGACTATTGACCACTGCATTGTGGCTCCTCACGTGGCTGTCCTGAGCAGTTGCAAACTGAAACAAGTGTATTTAAAAATTACTCATTTCTCCTTTATATTTCAGTTTGGGCATTCAATTGCTTTTCTCAAAAAAAAAAAAAGAAAGAAAGAAAGAAAAAGAAGAACTGTTATGGGCAGGGCACGGTGGCTCCCACCTGTAATCCTGACACTCTGGGAGGCCCAGGTGGGAGGATTGCTTGAGCCCAGGAGTTTGAGGCTGCAGTGAGCTACGATGACGCCACTGCACTCTACCTAGGGCAACAGAGCAAGACTGTCTCAAAAAAACACAAAAAATAAAAAAATAAAAAGTTGTTATGTAAGTGGGGCTATATGTGAATTTCATTTTAGGATAGAAAGGGAGCATGGAAGCCTGTGGCCTGTACACACTGCTTGCTCGTGAACCCAACAAGCACACACTGGCTGGAATAAAGTGGGTGCAAAGGAACATTGCTCTTCAGCAAGTGAGAGAAAGTAGCAATGAGCCACATATGAGCCACAGGAACTCTGGTTCTGCTGGTTTCACTAAAAACCCAGATGGGTACTTGGTCTTCCTTCCTCTTGACAACTGTTGCGTGTTTTTCCTTGCAGTGCCGTCTGTTTTTAGACATTCACTGCAGGTCAGGATATCATTTAATTTGCTCTTCCTTCCTCTCTCTGTTACCCTTGGGGCTGATGTGGCTGCTGCCGTGTAACCCTGGACGCAGCTGGTCACTGGGGTAGAGAGGAGAACATAAGGACACCCCAACCCTAAAACTGGCCACCATGGACTGTGGCTCTGGACCTGATTCCATTTTGTTTTTGAAGAATATTAGACTCAAGTTATTTGTTTTTCTTTATTGCCCTGCCACAGGAGAACACTAGTGCCAATCTTTCCTAGTCACTGACAATCACAGGTCTCTGCCAGCCCCTGCTGGGCTCAGTGAGAGTTTCACAAAGATCTGAAGTCTTTGCGCTAATCTGCAGCATAATAGGAGAGACTATATGTAAACAAAAGAAAATGAAAGGGTCAGCAGAGAGTTAGGTAGCTGTACCAGAGGAAAATGCCTAAGACTCATGGTGGTGGTGGAGGTTACAAGTGACAAATTCAAATGGACTTAAGCAGAAAACGTCATTGATTAGGTACAAGAGTACCTTAATCAAATTGGACAGCTTCAGGTATAGCTGGATCCAGGGATTTGAACGAGTTTGTTTCAACAGTCTCCCCTGCCCTCTGCCTTTTCTGTGTGTTTTTCTCTCTTTTGCTTCTGTTTTCAGGCAGGCTTTCCCTGCCTTTGTAAGAAAGCTACTAGCAGCTCTAGAATTTCATCATATTGAGCTCAGTGACCCTAGGAAAGAGAGTGCTACAAGCTAATTTGCCAGTTAGCTCCCACAAAGAGTCTCAGAAAAGGCTCTCAGTGGCTTGGCCTGGGTCACATGCCCATCCTTGAACCAACTGCTGGCTAGGGAATGCAGCGATTGTATTGGTAAGGGTAGGTCACATGACCCACTGACCCCCAGCTGGGGTCGGCCTTGGGCAAATCAGAAAGGGGCCTGGAGGCTGGGCAGGCAGAAACATCTCCTGTCCACTAGAGGGGCAGACGGAAAGTGTAGGCTTTATCCAGGATGGTGTTACGGAGTTTTCTGTATGCTCTGCCCAAGTGACATCTTATGCCAAAGAGGAAAGATTGGGGCTGGGTCCTTTCCCTGCCAAGCCCTGCGTTTCCCTTCCCTGTATTTGCTGGGGTGGCAGGGCTACTATGCCTGCGTGCTTTGGTTATTAAAAATAAGAATTTGGGCTTACTTCTTCAAGGTCTCAGGGGAGGCATGTGGTCCTGGAATGGGGGAGTGTGTATGTGTGTGCATGATGTGTGCATGTGTGAGTGTGAGTGTGGGGTGTGTCTGCCGGGTGGAAGGGTCACTGCTTAGAAAGCAGGAGGGGCTTCTCTCCCCCACCTGCTTTTCCTCCCCTTCCCTCCAGGTCCCTGCCGTTCTCTGCAGTTCCCAACATCCTGGCCTTCGCCCTGCTGTCGGCTTGCTATAACACGGCCAGCTTCGATTTCTAGGTCATGGGTAGCCGTTTATATGGTGAATGACGAAAGAACTATGTTTTTTCGCATTCAGGGCAAACGGCCCCAGTGGCTTTATGCTTCTAAGCAGGAAGGGGCCTGGGACACAGGAAGGGAGATTTTTTAGGGGAGACACTCAGTGGGGTCCAGAGTTACCCAGTGTGGCCTCTGCGGTCACAGTTGGGGTTCACACGTGGGCGGGACAGCGTGTCCGCAGGCGGACGGGTGCAGCCCTGCTGGCCTCTGTGCGCCTGCTGGGCGGGGTGAGGACTCTGCGGTTACGCAGACGCAGCTCTTAGTCACGAGAGGGTACAGAGAGGCGGACCTGCAGGCCCCGGGGTGGAGCGGACGGGGGTGTCCAGGCAGAGACTCTGGGGCCCTGTGACACAGGCAGTGTTTTCCAAAGGCCCGTCCAAGCACGGGGACCTGACTCCGCACGAGCCTGGCCTGGAAAGCGCGTCCGAGTGCAGGCTCGCCGTCTCAGCCCGGATGTCTGCAGCAGTGGCGGGGGAGGGTCTACGGTATAACCGGTGCCCCCAGAGGAGTCTTACGCACAGTCAGAACAGGAAATTGGCGTTTGGAGTCAACATGGTTGGGCTTTGGCATCAAAACTCTCAGCGTGAAGTGTCATTTCTTAGCGCACAGTGGGAGGCCTCCTCTAAGCCTCAGTTTCTTCATCTGTGAAGTGGAGATAGTCCCTAGCTACCTGGAAGGGTTGTTTTAGGACTCACAGGAGACACTGAGTGTGAAAGCACTTTGCAAACCAAAGCACCGCCTGAATATTTT